GGGGAGAAGGATTGGTCCCCAGCTGGAGCGAGGCAGGGGCCAGGGGCAAGATCACAGTGGGGCGGGAGCTAGGGTTTGTCCCTGGAGCAAGGGAGGGGCCGGGCCAGGGGTAAACTGCAAGCCCAGCAGGGCTGGGGAGGGGGTAAACAGGATCCCTCCCACCCCTGCCCACATAGAGCAGGTACCTACCTTCTCCCTGGTTCTAGCCTATTTCTGTCTCTCTCTGCACTGAGCTGAGGATGGGGGTGCACTGAGCACAGGGTTGGGGGTGCAGGGTCTGGGAGGGAGTTAGGGTGCAGGAGCAGGTTGGGGTTTGGAGGTGTAGGGTCTGGCCAGAAGCTAGGATGAGGGAGGGGGCTCAGGGTTGGGGCAGGAGGTTGGGGTATGGAGTGCTTACCTGGGGCAGCTCCCATTTGGTGTGAGGGGTGCAGGTGCAAATGTGTGGGGGGTGCAGGAGCTCTGTTTGTTGCTCAGGGTGGGAGTGGGGATGTGGGGGGGGGATGCAGGAGTCAGGGCATGGCAGGGGGCTGGGGATGTGTGACAGGGTGCAGGAGTCAGGGCATGGCGGGGGGCTGGGGATGTGAGAGTGCTCCCAGCCCCCTGCCCTGAGCAGCTCATGGCAGGGGGCTGAAGGGGATATGCCCTGATTCCATCCCCTTCCCCAAGGCCCTGCCCCTCCTCCCCCGAGTATGCTGCGGCTCCGCTCCTCCCCCTCCCTCACGCCAACGAACAGCTGTTCGGCAGCAGAGAGGGGGAGGGGCGTGAACACAGCATGTTTGGGGGAAGAGGCAGGGGAGGGGGAGGTTGGCTGCCAGCAGAGCCTGCCCTGCTGCAGCACGAGCCGGCAGGACCAAGTTTCTGCCTGCTTCCCCCGCAGGAGAGAGTGGTGGACGGGGGACAGAGAAGAGCGGGCCGGGCCAGGGCCCCTTTGGACTGTAGGCCCGGCACCATGGTAAATCCAGTACTGGCAGTTCCAACACCCTTGCCGCTTCCCAATGGCTGGTAGGAGAATCCAGTCCCACCCTCTACACTGGGTTCCAGCCCAAAGCACCCTATAACAAGCAGCCAAGGTCTCTGTACAGTCCTACGTCTTGCTGTTTCCCTGGGCTTCCTCCTACTTATCCAGCATCCCCTCTCTCTGGGTTGCCAACCTCCCAACTCCCTATCTGTAGCCAGCTTCCTGGCTTTATAGGCCCCACCTGTTCCTGCACAGGTGAGCCTGCCTGGAATCAATTAGTTCCCTGCTCCCTGGCTCCTTCTCCAGGTGCAACCTGGGGCGTTTTAACCCCTTCCAATCCTGTGTGGGGTGGACACGCCATCATACCTCTGATAAGCCTTTCTTTGCAGGCAGGTGACACCGCTTGCATGTGCAGGGCTGAGATTTTTGGTACTCATTAATTATGTTGCTTATTTGCCTTGTAGAGTGAAATCTCTCTCGTCTAGATTTTGGAACTGGCTAGGCTAGATGTTATAAGCTACCATTTTTCCTTGTTGTTTGTTAGACATGTTAGAATGTACCAAATCCTCAGCAACAAAAAAGGGAAGATGTGCTTACCAGAAGAAAAAGAAGATGGCAGTTATAAAACGGTTACTTTAAGGTAAAAGCCCCTTGGCTCTGTGAAATATAAAGGGCCAGCATAAAAAAGGCATGCTGGAAAACATTTCCTATAGAAGAATAATACTGTACATGAGACTTACCAGAGACTAGGAAGTCACTGAAGAAAGTCTCTTGGAGAAATGGATTGCTTTGATGTTGTGTGACTTACTGCTCTGTCACAATGATACTTCAACTCAGCTGTGATTTAATACTGTGTGATCTTACATCTAGGATGTCTATATTGGAGCTTTTAAATCAGTTAAGCATGGCTCAGTCATCCAGCAATTGAGGGAATGAAGATTCTTTTCAGTACAATGCAATATTTAAAAAGTCTCACTACTTCAGATTTGTTGCTCCCTTCTTGTGTTCTTTGCTGCTGTCTCAGATGTCATTATGATGCCAGACAGCACAGCCTACCGCATGCACTATAGCAAACACACTAATACAACAGTGTAGTAAACAGACATAATGCGATTCCATTACTGCTAACATATCTGAGCAATACCATAACACTGGATGCAGAAAACCTTAATTTATGAAGCACCTCATGTTTAGTTAAATAGTCTCCACTGAGAAACCAAAACAAGCTGTGTGCCATCAAGGTCAGTAAGGGGTCAGAGAATATTTTGAACTTGTACAGCACTGGGACCCTAAGAACTCTTCAATGCCAACTGGCAAAGGGTTCGTGATTCTTTAACAGCAACTCCTAACAGCTCTAACAAATTCACTACACCTGACACACTGCTTTAATATTTATCCAAAAAGCATCTAATAAAAGCCTGGGTCACTAATAAAGTGTGTATACACACACACACACACACACACACACACACACACACACAAAATGTGTTTCTAAAGTCTAAATCGGCAGGACTGACAAAAGATTTTTCCAGACAAAGAACGTACATTCACCTGTCTGCCTTGGTTCACATGTAAGTTAAGCATTGTAAGCAACACTCTGCAAGCCTGTTTGCATACAAAGTCAACATAAGGATGTGAAGTCTACCGGGAGTCAGCACACCAGGGAATAAAACCACATGAAGGTCATCTTGACTCTGGTGACAAACAATGATTTTGGGGAATCTAAGGGAAAGGCAAAAAGACACATCTTTATCCTGCACCTCAAGAAGCAAATCAGGCAGTGTGATTACGTTAATGAAAACAGGACTCCAACCAACCTTGGTTGGAAATGCTGCAAGGTGGCTTTGGGTGAGAGAAGACTTTTTTAGACTGATACTAAACTTAACTTTAACAGGCTAGCAAGCATGTACTGATTTTGTTTTGTAGGCAACTTTTCTGCTTCCATTATCCTTATTTGCTATCGCTTAAATTTTAACCCCTTGGTTTTCACTCTAATAGAAGTCAGTGCTGTGGAGTTATGCAGGAGCTGATCCTCAGCTGAATCAAACAAACCTGGTGTGTATATTGTACCCTTGGGGACAGGAAACCTGGTATTTCTGAGAGTAGCCAGTGACAGGAATGGATATCAAAGATCTTAGG